ATTAATGGTAATTTGCCAAATATTTGTTTAAATAACCTCGAAATACTCAAGAGTATAATGCCATTCACAAACCTTACTAATTCACTAATTAAACCCCTATCAATATTATTAATATAGATAAAATAAAAGGCAAAGACCCATGAACTTACCCCTGAGGCACTCCATTGGTATCAACGATCCAATTTGATTGAACTCTATTAAAATTACTTTTGCTTTGTCCAACCATCTTACAATCCAATTTAATAATCTTTCCCCAACTTTTACCAATCTGATTTTCTTAGTTATCCTTTTGTGGCACTTTATCAAATGCTTTTTGAGGATCAAAGAATAACAAGTCCACAACATTTCCACCACCCAGATAACATATCCTCAATAAAAACCATTAACATCAGTAAGATTTTCCTTCATTGAATCCATGTTAATTTTCTTTTATAATAACATACTTCATTAGTTGATTTTGCAAAGCTTCTTTTAAAAGACTAGAATTTTTTCCCCACTAACTGGTCTATAATTTCCAGGGCAATTCTGGTTCCCTTTTAAAATCAAGGTTAACCTTAGTAATTCTTCAATCCTCCAGTTCCTGCCCTCAATTGATCTTTTGAAAATGAAAGACATGCACTTATACCTGATCTTTGCCTTCCTCTAAAACCCTGCAAAAAAAAAAACCAAACATTCTTTGGTTCTGTTGCTATAAATGTTTGTAATATCTCAATTTTTTTTTTTACTTCCAACGGATTAATATTTACATAATCAAATTCAATCACAATATTTTTCATAGAATATTGAGAGTCAGGAATATTGCTAACATCCTGTTAAGTGGCACAAATAAAATGACAGAAGATTTTCAGATAATATATTTGATCAGTAGTTCATCTCCATTTGCACACAGACAATGAATATCTGCTATAAAGTTTTATTCAGTTGTAGTTTATTTTGTGAATAGCAGCTGTATCTTAAGGGTAACACAAGTTACTTATTGTCTGCAACCTGCAAGTATTCTTAGTTTTACTATTGGAAGTGGCCACATTGGTAAATTACCAATGTTTGCAAGCAAGAGCATCAAAACATCATTGCAGTTGTGTTCCATCCTAGGGCCTAGGCTGATGCATTCAAAGATAAATTGTGCAGTCCCATTAGAAATAAATAAATATTTAGGAATAATGGTGGTTTGGAATGTGGAAATGTTTTCTCTTGAATGTGCATATATCGTCACAAACAGCTGATTTTTTTGTTGTTGTTTCAGTTCAGCTAAACCAAAAACCATGATGAAAAGTAAGGAACATAATCAGTACACCTAAATGCAGGAGTTATAATTACCAAGAACAACCAGAAAAACAGATATAAATTGAAAACTACACAAAAGTCACCAGCTTTAAGCAGATGATGAAGGGTTATATATATAATAATATAAAAAAAATGCTTGAAATTCAGTATGGTAATTTTTAACTAGTAAACAACCAAGTCACAACTTTCATCTGTCTTGAATCATTAATATGGCTAAATAATAATAATGCTAATAAAAGTTACTTAGAAGATCTTACAGCTTCAATTCTTGATTATTAGCATTATAGCAATTACAAAGTCTTGAAGACAAACACTTAAGATATGAAAATTCACACCAAACAAGCCAACCATATGCTACATGCCATAAGTACTGTTAAAAAAAGTTCCATGCATTTTTTGAAAATAGTTTGATATGCAGATGGCAGTCAGTATTTCTTGGGTAACTTGAAAGATGAAGATAAGAGCTGAAACTACTAAGCTAAAACTGTCAAAAATTATCATTAGCATGTTTATAAAAAAAAATCTCAAACCCTTTACTACATATAAAACTTTGGTGACAAGAACTTCAGCTTCAAGTTCTCTTTACAAAAGTAAAGATTTTGTAAAAAGTAATGGCAGATTTCACAGCACTGGTTTATTGATTCTCTTTCAAAACTCAGACAAAGATCCAAAAACAAACATGATTAACATATTCTGTACTGCTATGATAGGAGACTTAGAGGATAATACAAGATTAATAAGATAGTTCAAACTGGACATTAGGCAACCAAAAAGGGAATATGAGAAAATGTAGCATGAAAATGTAAAAATTAATTGTATGAATTTCTTCAAATACATTAAGGGTAAGCAAAATGTTATGATGGGAGCAGGGCCTTTGAGGGATGATACAAGAAGACTAATTACTAATGATTATGAGATGGCTGGGTTATTAAATTTTTTTTTTTCTACTAATGAAAATTTAAATATTATTCCTCATCCTGAACAATTGCTAGATGGGAGCATGACCAAAGAAGATGATCACAATAATTATGAATGTGTTAAGAAAAATTGGGAAATTTAAAGAATAAGTCTCGTATTTTCCTAAGGGTTTTGAATGACTTGATATACGAGCCACTTGCTAGTACTTTTTGTAAATCCTTGAATAATTGGCAGCTGTCAAAGACTAAAATTTGGTTAATGTTACTCCTCCTTTTTAGAAAGTCAATAAAAACTTACAAGGTAATTATAGGTCTAGTATTAGTTTTCCCATCAGTGTGGATAAAAATTTATAAGTCTGATAAAAAACACTTTGTAAATTTATTTCAAAAAGTTTAAAATTTTGTTGGATAGTGAACATGGTTTTGCTAGGAGAAATCTTGCTTACTAATCTTTTAACATTTTTTTTTATTTTTAAGAGGTTACTGCTCATGAGGGTAAGGGTGTGG